CTGAACAAACTAATTTAGAAATATTTGATTTGCCTATTAATTTCAAGACTAATGAGTCTACTGAACCACTATTGTGTAACTTGGAAGAGCCATTATTTTTCAAGGAAACTGTAGAAGATGACCCACCAAATACAAACATTATCACAGAAAACGCACTTCCTACCTCCATCAACATGCCATCGACTTCATCTCTTAACATACCCTAGACTTCGCTCATCGATTGACCATTGACTTCATCTAATAACGTACCATCAACGTCATTTATCAATTTATCATCAACTTCATCCATTAACATACCATCAGATTCATTCGTCAACATACCACCGATCTTATCACCACAAGTATCTTTTAAAAGTCCGTTTGAATTCAGAGATCCTATAAAAGCCAAACCTAGACAAAATATCAAAAAACGTAGGAATCCACGACGCAGCCTAATTGCTACCGATACACCTGAAAAATTGTTGTTGGAACAAGAAAAGACAGTAAAAAAAAGAAAAAACGACGCAAAGAAAAGTTAAATTACTCGAACAATATTAAGCAGTGATGAAGAAATGGAAAATGAAGAGTTATTTTTACAAGATTCGGATGACGACATAGAATGGCCTACAGATCATGGATATGAAAATGACACTGATAACGGGAACATTATTTTAACGGATGATGATTTAAAGAAACCTTTACCTCATTCACCTTGAGAAGGCGAATATGTAATTGTCCAATTAGCTACCAAAAAACAGAGATCCTTATATATTGGCAAAGTGTTAGAGGAACGAAATGAGAATATGGAATTTTACATATCATTTTTGAGACGAAAGCCTGGTACAGAAAAGTTTATTATGCCAAATAAGCCAGATCTGTCTATTGTAAAAGAGGATGATTTAAAATTTATTCTACCTAAACCTTTAATGATTGGAACAGCTTCGAGGCCATTTTATTATTTTTCAATCGATTTTAGTTTTATTACTGTGAATTAGGTAACGATGATTAGATAGACGTCTTGTTATGCATAAATATCTAATGTCTGTTTTTTTTGTTTGTGAAAGTTGATCTCATTTGATTATTTAGTTGATTTTTTAAATATTTTTTATTATTTGTTAATTATTTCTTTAGAAATTATTTTTGTTTGTTTTGATAACATTCAGCTTTTTAGAAAATAAGTCTGTTACCTACCCGTAATGTGATCTCATGATTAAAAATAATAGAGTAAGAAGTTAAAGTGTGAACCAAAGTAGAATTAAAATACAACTCTAAGACTGATTATATTACTCGTAAGTCTTAAATTGAAATGCTTGCTTTTATATTTGTCATTTTATGAAAAATAATAATGATTTTTAATTAAATATGTCTTTTTTATTTCCATTGAGCCACTGTATACTATTAGAGTCACTGTGTACTACACTACTGAGTCACTGTATACGTCCACCGGTACACAGTGACTCAAATATTTTTTTTTATATTTTATTTTTTAGTTTAGTTATTATAATGTGCAATGAAAATATAATGATACAATATTGATATGTAGTAATCTGACTTCAATATCTAAAAAAAACACTTTGTTTATACATTATTTACTATATTTTTGAGCGTATCGAAAAAATCCGAGTCACTGTTTCCTCCCTGACCCTACTCAATGCAAAAGACGGTAACCAAGCTTTCAATATGTTTCATGATACATTAACAATGTACTACAATCTATGTTTTCCAATTAATAACAAGGTTAAAATACGTGCTAACTCCATAACGCCTGCTTGGATAACGAAGGGTACAAAAATAGCTGCCTCTCAAAAAAGAAAACAGGTACTTGTGTTATAAAAATCCCTCAGATAAAAACAAACAAAATTATTACAAATACTATAAACTATTTAAAAAGTGTATATTTGAGTCCAAAAGGTATATAAATAACAAACATGTTAAAAATGCAAAAAATAAATGCAGGGCAACCTGGAATATAAACATAAATATAAAACATAAATATGATGACGACAAAATATATGAGAGTATAGAATCAATTAGATCAAATGGTCATATAGTTCGTAATCCAACTGAAATAGCTTTAGCTTTTAACGATTTTTTCATTTCTACTACTAATAAAGTAAATAATACATCTTCCCCCAATTATAACTTGATTAAAACAGTTCCTTCTACAATGTACCTAACACCGACTACAGGCAGCGAAATCATAATAACAATCAACTCATTGAATAACACAAGAGCTGTTGGTTATGATTGTATATCTACGCCAATCTTAAACTGTAGCACTGAACTAGCTGAATTCCTCAGTCACCTTATTAACATCTCGTTTGAGCAAGGTGTGTATCCCGATAAGCTCAAGATTTCAATTGTAAAACCTATTCATAAAAAAAAACTGCAAATTAGATATGAACAACTACAGACCCATCACAATGATCCCTATAATATCTAAAATTTTCGAAAAAGTTATGCACTCTCGTCTTGTAAATTTTCTAATTAGATTTAAAATAATAACAAACAATCAGAACGGCTTCCAAAAAGACAAATCCACTACCCTCGCCGTTTTCTCGCTGATAAAATGTGTGACAGAAAATATTGATAAACGAAATTGAGTCTCCACCATATTTTTTGACATGATTTCGTGGATCATGAAATCTTGCTTAAAAAATGCGAGTTGTACGGAATTCGAGTCAATGCACTCGATTGGATCAGTAATTACTTAAATAATAGATCACAATGCGTTGAACTAAATAAACTTAACAATTAAAATGTATCTACTTCATATAAGTCTTCATTTGTAGTTAACAGATTTGGTGTTCCTCAGGGCAGTGTGCTGGGTCCTCTTCTGTTTCTGCTATATATAAATGATATTCCCCAAGTCACAGAGCATAATTGCATCTTATTTGCAGACGATATATCATTAACAGTTACAGAAGATAAAACTGTAAATTATGAGTTATCTCTAAACCACGCAATTTCGTCTATAATGACCTGGCTCACTCATAATAATCTAACTGCTAATGTCTCCAAAACCAAAATACTCCAATTCGTAAACTCAACCAATCATAGCAAATTATATAACAAACTCAGTATCCAACATAAAAATACTGGGCATTATGCTAGACAGGAATTGTAAATGGAAGCCACACAAGGACATGTTGTGCGATAAAATAAATAAGTTTGTGTATGCACTCAAAAATTGAAAAAAGTCTCTTGCACTAAAACAACACTGGCTGCGTATCATGGTTATATAGGATCTATCATAAGATACGGATTAATTATCTGGGGTAACTCTTCATTCGCAAAAAGAGTGTTTATTGCTCAAAAAAAATGTGTTCGTGCTATTTGTGGCGTGGGACCTCTGGAATCATGTAGACCATTATTTAAAAAATTAGGATTATTAACATTAACCTCACTGTACATATTAGAATTAGCAATATTTGTAAAGAAACATCCCGAACTTTATAATAAGGTAATAGATCATAAGAAGAATTCGTCCAGAGATCCAACGCGACTTGCTGTAATAAGATGTAGAAGCACACTATGCCAAAAAAATTCATATATAACATCAATCAAAATATATAACAAAATACCTAAACATATAAGAGAATTACCTTTAAATAAATTTAAGATTACATTGAATAAACTACTAATCAACAGTTGCTTTTACACCTTAGATGAGTTTCTTACAATGAAAGTTTAATGTGTGCAATACTAAGTGTGCAATATTAAGTGTGTTATTATTTAGTAAGTCACTAAAATGATAAATATGTGAATAAAGAAAAGTAATAATAATATATTAGGAGGAATAATTATGTTATCCTGGTTGTAAGTAGGTATTTTTGTAATTGGTTTTATTGAATATAAGATTTTAACTTTATTATATTGTAAAACTTAACTTTGCATGCCGAAAACAGTAGGCGATGTATGTGGGACTATTTTTTATAATTATTACTACCTGTAATTACCATACTTAGTGCAAATAAACATTCTTATTCTTCTATAATCACATGAAACTTCACCCTGTTGAGAGTACTAGGGTTACTGTTGATGTCACGGAGAACCTAACGGGTAACCGGGGCTCCGGCTCGACGTGCAGGAGAAGGAACGGGGTGGTTTTTAGTCAGTAAGAGTCTGACACTCCCTTCCGCCTCACCCAGGCGGGAGCAGTCATTCGATGATTTTTCCCCTTAAAAAAAAAAAAAGGGTTGATGAACCTTCGACGCCAGGGACATAGAGAACACTGTGTTGAATTGAATAAAGACTATTTAGAAATTAAATTAAAAGATAGATAAAACTTATTTTTTTATTTAATACTTGAATAATCTTCCAATTATTCGAATATAGCCATAATTATTCGAATTGCAAAATTGTCGAATATTTGCAAGCCCTAATCAGTACTTATCTACTAATTTGTGTCCATTTGCACTCACTATAACACTAACACCTAACATTTCAAACACTCAAGTACTTTCGAGTCTGGTTACATCGCATACCCAAAAAAAAACCAGGTAGTGGAGATTCTCTCAGACGCTATCTGGTCGTCAACATCTCCCGGCTTCATCCTCCAGGACACCAACCACTCCCGGCAGGCATCGACACCCAGCAGCCAGCAACATATCTTAACTTTACGAACACTCACACACACTTTTAGTCCACAGTCAGAAATAGTCTTTATTAGTTTCAACAAATGCAAATTAAAAACATTGTACTCGTGCATAGCGCTGCCCACATCGCAGCACTAGCAGGGTCGCCCTGCAATGTGGAGCAATGAGGGAGACGTGTTACTGTTAGGAATATCTTTAATTAAGTGTCCAATATCTATCTTACGCTACTTACTTATAGGGTGAGGTGTCACACACTACACTCTCCTGTATCTTTTTTCCTTGTTCACATTGCTATGTGAACTTGAATTTGAGGATGATGTGCTACTGGATCTCTGAGAACCCATGTTAACAATGATTAAAGCAAAAATATACACTACCACTTATAGTTATTAAATATTAGTTTAAAGTTATTAGGGAATATCAGTGGTGTCTAAGGGTGCCTGCTGACCGTCTTAACACTTATTAATCAGTATCCTTCGGCTATATAAGTGATAGAGAATTAGTACTCTGTAGCACTTGGTAGAATGGTAGGTGTTAATAAATAGATGTGGTTAAATAACTGTCTTTTGCACTTAACAATATGAAAATAATGAAACTAATTATAGTTAAGATACAAAATAGGTAAATTAGATCACAATCGGCACCACCAATCATGTAGGTACAAGATGCAGCATTCTTTAGTTAATGTTCTTTCTTTATTTATTTAATGTTCTAATAGTCCTCTACTATTAAAAAGTAAACAGGTTGTATTGAGTCCAATTGCAGCTCAAGAAAAGATAAAAGGAAAAAGCTCACCAATCACCAGTTTCAAGCACTTGAGCCATGCATGCATTGAGTAGAAAAACACATTCACAAAACTTTGATAGCGATTAAAGTTCTAGAGAATCATCGAATCGAAGAGAAAGTTTTAACTTGTTCGTAGGCCAAGCACAAAATGGCTGTCTTTCACAAAAAGCAAAATTGAAGAATACGTCCTCTTTCCTTTCGTAATTGTACAGTTGCCGAACTTTATTAGGTACTGTAATCACTTATCACTGCACGTAAGACTTATACCACTCCTGAAACTTGTAAAAATCAATACTTAAATACTGAAAAGTTTATTCTAAACGGATTCCTATATCAGAACACAGCGTGATGCTCGTCAAACTTCCCACCAAAGTCGCCCGTTTTATTAAATTCACTTTACTCTTTGATTGCCCGTTACCACTCTTTGAGCGGGAAACTTTACTAATCTGTCTTATTTGACAGACGACATCGTCAACATGACAGCTAGTGCTGTCGATAATACAGATTAAAGTAGTGACGTTCATTTAGTTGATTTTCGTTGTCTATCACTTTATATTTTATGCATAAATGATTATATGGACTATTTACTATTAGGTATGTAATATATAATGTATAGCTGCATTATTCAATAATTACCTTTTTTGCTGTTAGTTTACGCTCCGTACCTGATTTTCCCGCAGATTTTCAACATAATCCCTGAGGTTAACTGATAGAGAGTGCCATATGGCATTAAGTTCGCCTTATATGCTATTTTAATCAAATTGTGACTAAATAAATAAATAAGTCAGTTGAAAAAACATCAACACAAAGTCAAGAGTCGTAAGTTTGAGTTAGAATTGAAAATGTTGCAATAATACTACATGAGGTAGGTACACAATTTAAGCCCGGGAACGCGAGCGAAGCTACTGGTAGCAGCTAATAGGTACTTCATAGCATTTTATCTACAAAATAAAATATTAATTCAGCAAGTCAAGAATACATTAAACACAATATATAAAGAAACATGCTGATCCGAATGAATTTAAGATACTTATTGCATCAAAGAATCTTTTCAGTAAAGAGAACCTCTCGACCGAGTTGAAATTAATGAATTGGTACAGTACGTTGCTTCAGTTGTGAAGGTAAAGCTGAAAATGCTGAGGTACCTTAGTATGCACACACAAATATGTAGACAAACCATTATAAACTGATCTTTGAATGTACGGAATGATCATGCAAAATGATACCATGATAAATTAGTTCTATAATAGCTTAATGTGTGTGTATAATTCCTATATTTTCATTAAGATATTAAATTAACCTTGCGTGTTGAAAGGTTTTAGCTAATGTTATAACTTAAGTAAAAACATAAGTTTCAACTTAAGCTGAGGCAGAGAGTACCTACGAGTTTGTGAAATGTGTAAATCAAACTCGTACTAAAGCCTTTGGTCTGACTTTACCGCGTAGGTATGTCTATTATGTATCTAATAACTATGTAACTATGAACTTTTTGCTCCGCACGGTAAAACTGTGGAATGGGTTATCGTGGGAGCTATTTCCGACCGAGCCGCAACGGGTTGGACGGCGTTTATCGCTTATCAGGTGATTCGTTCGTTTCCATTAAAAGACTTATACTATGTAATTTTAATCCATGACTGGTTACGCAGTGCTCTGTATCTATATTGAAATCTAATTTGAAGTAAGTAGCCTGCAAGCTTAATGGGCACTATTTAATCAATCAGTCGGCAAAGCTTATCTTTGTTCAGAGTGCCAAGCACGAATAACTGTCGCATTCGTAACGTAATAGTATCGAGCGCGTTCGGCGCTCTGATTGGCCGGCTCAAGTGAACCAACCAATCAGAACGCTTAACTCGCTCGATACTGTCACGATACGAATGCGATAGTTGTTCGTGCTTGGCCCTCTGATTCTATGCAGATTGGATCAGAAAAGTCAACTAGGACTATAACTTCTGTCGGAGGTCAACGGACAAAACACTCTGTAGCCAACTAAGGGTAACTAATACATAACATCACGCCTTTTATCCCCGAAGGGGTAGGCAGAGGTGCACATTACGGCACTTACTATACAATGCAACACCCAATTTTCACTATTTATGTTGAGTCCCATATATTAGGGGGTGAGCCTGATGTACTACATATACCGGGCACATTTCAAGACTCTGAGAATTTTTAAAAACCCAGTAGTACTTCGACCTGGGAATCGAACGCGTGACCCCTTGTCCGGCAGTCGCACTTGCGACCACTCAGCCATCGAGGCAATCATCAAATGTCGAAATGGACTACTGTCTATGGACTACTGTCCATGTTGTGTCGTTGCATAGTTAGACCTGTTAGTCTAACTATCTCCAGCAGCTGTAGCCAAACGCCACTGAGCGCTTGTCTACATGTAGAATAGAAAACCAAATTATATGAATTTGACGTAAATTTTGACACTTATCAGTGTCCACATACATTTTGATTTCTACTCCCTCTGTAGACAAACGCATTTGGCCAAAGGCAGATCAGATTCAAAAAACTTACCTACTATAAAACCGCTCCGTTATGACGTGAAAGAAAACAAAACATTTAGGTACGCTTTCATTATAATAATAAGGAATTAATTGATTTATTTATTATTTCGTACCGACGATATCTAGAATTGATACCTACATACATAGTTGCTTATTTCTATCTAATTCCAATATAATTTCACTCGGAAACTTTTCGAATATTGGAAAATCGATTTTATACTGAAGGCGCTAGGACTTATTTCTAGTAATAGAGAGAAGCCTCGTTGAACATTTTATTGAAAGCATTTTGCCGTTTACCGTCGTTCGGGCATATACCTATGGAGTTAGATATACTACAATTTTAAAAGAAATTTAATCTTGTTAAATATTCACATCTAGAATCTAGGGAGTGAATAGTAGGTAAAAAATTCTTCATCATTATAGTGTATGAACATTAAAAATGTAATTAGTCCGTCAGTTAGATAGTGAAAATAATAATAATAAACACATATTATTTTATTTTGTCGTTTAGAAAAACAATACTTACATAAAACGGAGTTAAGTTTAGGAGTGGGAGGTCGTTACGTCACGCAAACCTATGAAATGTATTAAATCGTGACGTCACACGATATTGCAAATCAACATAATTATCGTCGAAAGTACCTATTTAATTTTGTGAGAAAAAAATAATACGAGTCTAACTTTTTAAAATAGTGTACCAGACGAACATTAAAATAATTAGGATTCGACATTTTAATCCGTAGGTACTTATTTTAAAACTTGCATTTGTGTTTTATTTGTTTGCATTATAATTATTTGGCTGGACAAAAAGCGATAATAATCGGTCAACGGTTTTTCAGTAGATGTGACTGGTCCACTGCCACTTGTTAGATATGTCAACCATTTTGTTTTTCTGTCGGACCCAAATGTAATGTGGGAGAGGCGTGCTTCGGCTCCACATGGCTTCAAATAGGCCGGCTCGACCGGTGTGACACCACAGCCTCACACAAAACTGATGTGAAACAACGCTTGCATTGTATTTCGTCATTTGAGTGAGTCCCTCCATCCCCGATCTCTCCAATCGCCAAAACCCCAACAAAACACTAACTTTCCTAATCTCCTAAAGGCCGGTAACGCTCTTGTAACACCTCTGGTGTTTTGGGTGTTCAAGGGCGACGCTGAATGCTTACTATTAAATGATCCACCTGCTCGATTTTCGTATTATCCCATAAAAACAATAACTTCAAAAACCATAATTTTCAAAACCTGGAGACCAGTAGTCGAGTTCACAGCCACTGATCCAAGCCATACGGACTAACTTTACTAATAAAACACCAGTAAATAAGACAATATCAATATCAACGGGAGTGCAATTTACAGAGCTCATTTCCCTACTAACAATAAACGATATTGTATTGATACAGCTCACGATTAAATTATTAACTACCGTACCAGTCAGATCGTAATTGTAACTGCTACGTAATGGGTCTTCTCTTTTCGAGAGAAGCGGTGGTGAGGCGGGAGGGAGTGTCAGACTCTTACTGACTAAAAACCACCCCGTTCCTTCTCCTGCACGTCAAGCCGGAGCCCCGGTTACCCGTTAGGTTCTCCAGGGTGAAGCGAAAGGAAGTGTCACTCTCACTGACCAGAAACCACTCCGTTCTTACTCCTGCTCTGAGCTGGAGCCACGATATTCCGCAAGAATGTCCGCCGTTCCGGGTCGGACATCAGCCGTATCCGTGGTGGTCTAATGAATGTTTGAAACGTGCGCGAAATATGATGGGTGGGTCTTATCCATATAAGAGTCTATACTTAACATCAACTGCATCTGCAGTGTTCTAGAAGGAACGATAAGCACCGATTACTCTCAGCAAAAAACATAGGTAAGTAAAAAAATGATAGCTACCCACTCGGACCTAAAAATAATAAATCTTAATCCACTAATAATATCTCATTGGAGTAAACAAAAAACAACAGTGAAGTTATGATTGATATTATGTTTTCTGACCACGTCTAAGGACGCGCGGCAACAGAATCCCTTTCCCTTCATCTTACTCGTATCATAATTTTCTGGATAATAAATTTTCCCCCGTCCGTTCGTCAGTCGGTCCAAGACCGTGGCATTGAGCGGTCGCGTATCGCGTCTCCCCGCGCCCCGAAAATATTATTGTGAACAAAAACATAAATATTGTGTGAAATAACAGTGTTTTATTGTGTTTTCTAAAGCTATTCATTGGATTATTTAACCGGTAAGTCGATTTTAATTTAGACGCAGCCATTTTGTGTTGTTTTCGTGGTTTAAGCTGGTACCTGTTGATTTTCGGATGGTAACATAGTCTGTGATGCGTTGGGATATATTGTCTTGTTCTTAATTCAAACATAAATATTATGAGTTATTTAATTTTTTATTTGAGCTTTGTGTCTAGAACTTTTTTCGTTCTTTAATTAAATAAACGGTGTTGGTGATATTTTTTGTTTTTAATTTTATTTGATAATTTGGAATGCCTAGATACTTACTTCTAGGTTTACTAAAATAGGTTTTACGCAAAAATATTTTACGGTTTAACTATTAAAAACACTATTTTATCCGTATTTCTGTACGTACTACGATCTATTTTTAGTTTTTTGTTTCTTACCTTTCCTTCAGTTTAAGTCTTATACAAAAGTTTCATTAAATGGTCAACATTTTGGTATTTTGGGACTACTTAGATAATTTTGGGTATTCAAGTCATCTAAGAAAAATATTTGTCTAAATATTTCAGAGTAATTACAGCTACTATGTGAGAAAAAATCGTCGAATATTTAAAAAAAGACTGACATTATTTATTTGAGTGAAAAATTGTCTGATATCTTAGTAAAAAGATTATAAAAACAATTCGATTATTATATATATAGCATTCTAACAAGTAAATAAACGAGCCACAATGTAGGTAAAATCACATAAACTAAATAAATACCTACACTAAAAAGGGAAACTAGAAAAAAAATCACTACGAATGTAACATAGTACGCCGGCACAATTACCTATTTGTTATGCAGCTAAAAAATAAAGATTGACTTAGTACAGAGACAGTCGCTATTATTGTACCATATTATTCATAGCATCAACAGATTTATTTCTTTGCACTTTCCTCGCGGAGAACCTAACGGGTAACCGGGGCTCCGGCTCGACGGGCAGGAGAAGGAACGGGGTGGTTTTTAGTCAGTAAGAGTCTGACACTCCCTCCCGCCTCACCCAGGCGGGAGCAGTCATTCGATGATTTTCCCCCCTTAAAAAAAAAAAAAAATGGTTGACTGTTAGAGAATGCCTTAAGGCATTAAGTCCGCCATTCACTTTTATATTTGGTGAAGAAGAATATAAATAAATAAATTTAAATAAATCATTTGTTTTAAGGTTTTAAGCAAGCCACATCTTCTGTAACAATTGGTCAGTTCAGTAGCCGACCAATGCAATGGTTATTCTCTCTCTGTACCACAGAATATATAAAGTTCTTTATGTGTTCTGTGCTCTGTACGAATCAATTGTTATTTTTTGTCCATTATCGTCATCATCATCATCCCTCCATTGTAAATAACTGTGCTGACTGTACTTTTACTCAGCCATACCTCCGCCTGTATACCAAACTTCATCAAAATCCGTTCAGTAGTTTCAACGTGATTGACGGACGGATCCAAACATATAACTATAAACAAAGAAACTTTTACATATATTTTTCTGTAAAACGTTGCCCCTCACTTGGAATTTCTCCTGTGTCGTGGGTGTGTTTACGAACGTACAAGTTCACATACACATGACACCCAGACCCGGAACAACAATCTATGGATCACACAAAGAGTTGAATATTCGTGTAATAAATGTTGTCTAATAAAACAAAATACACAATTATATTTTTAATCGAGCTATGGAAAATTTAGTAACTAATGTTTGAGGCAATTATGTTGAACAAGAACCATAATATTATGGTTAAATAAAATAAAATTATGTTTATCTACTACTAGTAGGTAGCTACTAAAGAACGGTTTGTCATTTTTGGGGAATCGATCGATTCGAAGCAAATAGAACATGCTTTTTATTGGTAGCTCTGGTTAACACTATTTTTTCACTCATTTGATTACGTTTTTCATCTTTTCTTACTAATACTGTAAATGGCCGGTCTTGGGTTCGATTTTCGGGTTGGGCAAAGTATTACTGGGTTTTTATTTCTGAGTAATTGTGCCCGGTATATAGCAATAGGCTCACCCCCTATTACATAGGACTTATAACATAAATTATGAAAAGTGGGTGTTACATTGTACAGTGGCATAATGTGCACCTCTGCCTACCCCTTCGGGGATAAAAGGCGTGATGTATGTATGTACTGTAAATGTCAAAGATTGTGTGTTTGTTTGTTACTCAATCACGTGTAAATGGCTGAAGGAAAGAGTTGGGGACAGAGATAGATCGTGATCTCTAATAAGGCCACTTTTATATCACTGGAACTCTCGCGAAGTTGTTGGCAGAAGCGAGTAGAGAACTAAGCGTAATCTGTCGCGTTCCGCGCGCGCCTTAAAGAGCCATCAGACCACCACGGATGGGGCCCAATAGGGCTGATGCCAATACGGAGCCGCGGAGGACTTAACGGATACGGCCGGGGCTCCGGTAGAAACGGGGTGGTTTTTAGTAAGTAAGAGTCTGACACTCCCTTCCGCCTCACCTAGGCGGGAGAAGTAATTCGATGATTTTCCCCCCTTAAAAAAGCGTAATCTGTCATAATGTGCATAAGTTACCTTCATGGCATGGCATGATAGGCACTACCATGTCTAGATTTTAGATTAAACTGTTGATAATCTAGATTTTTTCGTATTTTTCAGATTCCTGTCTTGGGCTCAGTACTAAATTCAATTAGCATTATATATTATAACAATTAACCCGTGCCGTGGTATGAAAATGAGAATGTGTAAGAGACACAATGACGGTCACAATGTATTTTTTTACTTGCTTTTGCCCTCGACTTCGTACGCGCGATCCCGTTTTTTTCCGTGCATGTTCGTCATATTCGGTAAAAAGTAAAAAAAAACATCCTATGTCCGTCTCCTGGTTCTAAGCTACGTCTCCACTAATTTTCATCCAAATCGATCTAGCCGTTCTTGAGGTATAAATAGTGTAGATAACTGACACGCCTTTCTTTTATGTATATACTAGCGCCTGCCCATGACTTCGTACGTGCAATTTCGTTTTCTCCCGTTCCCGTTCGTGATTTTCGGTAAAAAAAAGTATTGGAGAAAAAGTATCCTATGTCCGTCTCCTGGTTATAAGCTACCCCACCAATTTTCATCCAAATCGATTGTGCCGTTCTTGAGTTATAAATAGTGTAACTAACGAGAATTTCTTTTATATAATAATATATAGAAATATATAATATGTATAATTATATTCAATAATATTAAACTGTCAAACACCAAGCGGTCACCGGTGACCGCAACCTATTGTTCTATAATTGTGTCTATAATGACGGTGCTCGACGAGTTAAATAGTATTAAATAGTAGGTACCTACCAAATTTTTTTTAAACTGAAAACTGGAATAAAGTTAATTAACTCGTCGAGTACCGGTTTTGTAGACACAATTATAGAACAATAGGTTGCGGTCACCGGTGACCGCTTGGTGTTTGACAGTTTAAACGATGCGATTGGGAATCGAAAAATTGCAAGCACTTGACACAGGCACCTCTTTGTCCTCATAACGTATAAAAAAACATGATAACTAAAGCGATAACTTATTTTCTAGAAAACGTATCAAAAAGTTTTCATATTTATTACCTACTTATTGATTCTTAGACAGTAATAATTTTGATGTGACAGCTACTTAGTTTATTAAAAAAAAATATCTGTCTTCTAACTCAAACAAACTTTGATCTACTTTAATGTATTCAATCTAATACTTATGTTATACAATATTAATGAAGATATATCTATTATTTATTACTTAAAAATCAAAATGAAACATTGAATAAGTGTTAGTAACTCAAGAATATTAGGTATATTAATATGACACAGCTGTGAGAGACACTTAAATATTTTTATAATCGTCGTAAATATAAAAGTTATAAAAAAGATAAATTTGGTAGGCATTAAGTAATGTTCAATATAAAAATGAATGTAAAACGGCTGAGTGATAATTAATACGATTGATCAATCATTAGATACCGAGCTTCGCACGGAGAGGCAGCGCGCGGCGCGCGCCTGAGCAACAGCCTGCTGCACGTGGGGCGTCATTGAGAGCGAGCGGTCGATGGTCACGCCGAGGTATTTAACGCTCGGCGCCCACCGGACCTGCTCTCCCATGAGTGTCATGGGTGTCGGCTTCATGATCCCCACGGCGAGCGCTTGAGTCTTGGCCACGTTCACAGCCAGTCTCCACTTCTCCAGCCATTCAGGGAGTGCATCTAGGGCGCGCTGTAGTTTAACTACTGCGTGCCTCGGGTTCATTGATGTCGTGTAGTAGGCGGCGTCGTCGGCGTACAGCGCTAGTTTGACGCCGCTCGCGACGGGGATGTCGTCCGTGTACACGCAGTAGCACACAGGTGAGATGCAGCTTCCCTGGGGCACGCCGGCACGGATGTTCCGCTCGGTCGACAGAGTGCCTTCCACTGCCACTTGGAAGGTTCTGCCGTGCAGGAAGGTGGCCACGATCTTAACTAGTCGTCGAGGAGTAGTAGATGTGGCCAGCTTGCTGAGCAGGCCGGCGTGCCAGACGCGGTCGAACGCCTTCTCCATGTCGAGGAATACTGCCGCGGCGCGCTCGCGCTTGTTGCGCGCGGCCGCCAGGTCGTGCAGTACCCTCGCCACTTGCAGGGTGGTGGAGTGTTCCGCCCTGAAGCCGAACTGTTCGCCGCGTGGCTGGAG